TTAACGAGTACGAGTACAGGAGACCAGTATCGGGCCCGATACCGATACCAGTATTGGTATCGGTGCATCCCTAGTCTCAAGCATTCAGAAATCACACAAAAGAAAATTAGCAGTTTTACTACGATAAAACCATGGTTCATTTTTTTTTAAATGATTGAGGCTGTAGCATTTCTATCGCGAAAAAGTGGCCAAAAATGAAAGATTAAGTGGATATTTGAATTAAATGTTTGGTCAATATTACACAAAGATTTGATCGTCTTGCAAGTGTAACAAACAGCAATTACCAAGCCTTTGGCGCCCTTTGCAGGCATTTGTAATAATATGTAATGTACATAAATTGTTTATTTTGTATTACATTATGTATTTTTAACAGTGTCATTCAATGAAACCATATGATTATTATTAATTAACCTATTTGTATTACATTATGTATTTTTAACGGTGTCATTCAATGAAACCATATAATTATAATTAATTAACCAATCATTGTTGCCTCATTGTTTTTAGTCAATTTTAAGTCGTTTTAAAGGCTGTGGTTCGCTCTGTTTTCCACACACACACAAATATTTGAATACTCTTTGTAAATTATTATTTGAAGTAACAAAACCATTGTTAATTTGTGGTTACCATGGCTACAAGAACCATGAGTTTTGGTTCTTATTCGTAGTAAAACCATGGCTAATTTTTGTTAGGGAACATGGAAACTCAGAGAGAATATTAGATGCGTTGGTGACATTAAAACAGGTTATTTACATCAACAGCCAAAAAGGTTTCACAGGATTATGAACGTACCTGAAAACTGAAAGTGATGCACGGGCTTCATCTTAGGCTTTTTTTCTTTTCTTTTTCTTTTCTCGGCGTCCGACTGTTGATATGTTTTCCCGGGCATAGTTGTCCGTCAGTCAGCCGCAAACACGAGGCGGGCGCGGATTCGGGAATGGCGCGTCACGTGTGCTTAGCCTACTGCGTTCACCGTAAAATGCATATATATATATATATACAGTGGGTACGGAAAGTATTCAGACCCCCTTAAATTTTTCACTCTTTGTTATATTGCAGCCATTTGCTAAAATCATTTAAGTTAATTTTTTTTCCTCATTAATGTACACACAGCACCCCATATTGACAGAAAAACACAGAATTGTTGACATCTTTGCAGATTTATTAAAAAAGAAAAACTGAAATACCACATGGTCCTAAGTATTCAGACCCTTTGCTCAGTATTTAGTAGAAGCACCCTTTTAATCTAATACAGCCATGAGTCTTTTTGATGCAACAAGTTTTTCACACCTGGAATTGGGGATCCTCTGCCATTCCTCCTTGCAAATCCTCTCCAGTTCTGTCAGGTTGGACGGTAAACGTTGGTGGACAGCCATTTTTAGGTCTCTCCAGAGATGCTCAATTGGGTTTAAGTCAGGGCTCTGGCTGGGCCATTCAAGAACAGTCACAGAGTTGTTGTGAAGCCACTCCTTCGTTATTTTAGCTGTGTGCTTAGGGTCATTGTCTTGTTGGAAGGTAAACCTTAGTTCCAGTCTGAGGTCCTGAGCACTCTGGAGAAGGTTTTCATCCAGGATATCCCTGTACTTGGCCGCATTCAACTTTCCCTCGATTGCAACCAGTCGTCCTGTCCCTGCAGCTGAAAAACACCCCCACAGCATGATGCTGCCACCACCATGCTTCACTGTTGGGACTGTATTGGACAGGTGCCTGGTTTTCTCCACACATACCGCTTAGAATTAAGGCCAAAAAGTTCTATCTTGGTCTCATCAGACCAGAGAATCTTATTTCTCACCATCTTGGAGTCCTTCAGGTGTTTTTTTAGCAAACTCCATGCGGGCTTTCATGTGTCTTGAACTGGTATAGGGAGCGGCGGTATTGCGTCATAATAATTGATTTTTATTATTTTATTATGAATTTTATTATTTTTGATGCTTATTGGAGTAATGCAGGCAGCATATGTTGGAAAAAGTGTGGATGCTTCCACATATTTGTTCTTAACCAACAAAGTAAAACATTTCTTATAAAATAATTTACAAGCCTACCCTGCAAACTAGCATGCCTATATGGAAAAGTTTAAAAACGATATTTTCTCTTTACTCTTGGTTCTTTTTGTGATGATTTTGTTGAAATTGTCGTTCATCCTGTTTTGGAGTTGTCCATTCATCAGAAATGTTTGGCTAGATATTTTAAGATTCCAAATGAAATGCAGCCTATTGTTTTGTAGTATTTTCCCCATGTTTTAAACTTTTTTTTTTTTTTTAGAGTTAAATTCAATTTATGGGGCATAATACAGCCAAGATGGCGATTTATCCGACATATCCTACAGCTTAATAATGAGAGGTAAAATCTGGTAATCATCTCAAAAACTATTAGCCTACTGTACATATCGCTGTATGTATCTATATATATAAGGGACCTACAGTCTTCTAGTGGTTAAACAATGACATTACGTTTGACTTAGAATTTTTTCCCCACCAGATGGCACAATTCTGCCTCTTACGTTGTAAATTTAGCATGTTTTAACTTAATTTTAACTTAATGCATTAAGTATTAATACATCTTTAAATATATTTTAATAATTTTCAATACAATTATAAAAGCTTCACTGAACACATCTGCTTATCACTGTACAACTCCCTTAGCAACACAATCCATGTAGGCTACTATCAAAGCGGTTTATTATGTTTTTCAGTCAAAGGTAACTGTTTGTTACTTATTTGATGAAGTATGAGTGACCGCTGCTGGTGTTTTGTCTGCGTCATTCACCTTTAATTTTGAGGCCAGCTCTTCCCCTGCCAAACAAAGCCTGTGTGAAAGCCCACAGTTTAAATAGAGGTTAATCCAGTCTAAATACCATAATTGTTGTAGTTACATATTACACTTTTTTAAATAAAAATAAAGTTATTGTAAGATTATACAGTTTCTAGCTATATTTACCCACAAACAATACACATGATTTCTAAACATACATTATAATACTTAACAGATTATTAGTTTTATACATTCAAATAGTTCAAGATTTCAGTATTCATAATTTCATGGCTATTCATTTTGGATGTTCACGAACTGTTTAATATAACGCAAACGCATAATGTGTTACTAAGTTATAAACTGTAATTTACATGAACAGAAATGTCTTTTTTTTTCAAACATGCATGTATTTTCTGATGTTTTCTTTATTTTCACACTTTGGGAATAGCTAAGTATTAGGAATATTTGGATAAATCTTGACCACATTTAGTGAGAGAATAAAAGTATTTTATTTATTTTTATTTGCTTTCTTAGTGCTTTAAATGTTTTTGTCACCTTGTCAGCATTTTCAAAAAATGTCAGATATTTCAGTTTCATTAGTAGCCTATAGTTTGTTTTGTTTGTGCTTTGCTGCTTTCATACAACAAAAAAATCATTTTATGGCCTACATAATCTTAAAGACCGTTTTTCATCATAACTTTTTTTTTTGCTCTAGCAGTAATTATGCATTTATTTATAAATGGTCTACCTATAGACCATTGTGATCACCGAGAAACACCACATCCTCCCTTCTCCATTGTCACTATCATAATATAATCAATGTAATAAACAGTATTTTTGCATACATTTTTTGGCATAAAAAACAGGTCACTTCAATATTAAATAGCAGTGTGCCAAATTATTTTTTTTATACAAATATAGCCTACCTATAGGTGTCCAAGCACAGAAGGTGCAGAAAACCTTTCTGTGTTTGTTCTGATTTTCTTAATTATATTTTCTGCCAGGTCTTTGATGGCCACACACTAAAAACAAATGTGACCCTGGAGCACAAAAGCAGTGTTAAGTCGCTGGGGTATATTTGTAGCAATAGCCAACAATACATTGTGTGGGTCAAAATGATCGATTTTTCTTTTATGCCAAAAATAATTAGGATATGAAGTAAAATCATGTTCCATGAAGATTTTTTGTAAATTTCCTACTGTAAATATATCAAAACTTAATTTTTGATTAGTAATATGCAAGGACTTAATTAAAAAGAACTAGTTTTGTGGTTCAAGGTCACAAATGTTCTAGAAACTATAGACATTTTGAAGTGGTATTAAATAACATTTTTCTGGAAAAATAGCCCTCGCTCATTTTAAAATCCCCTAATATTTCTAGAGTTTCCATTGCCGTGGGTGTACGCGTTTAGACAGGGTGAGGACATTCCTATTGTCTGGCGAGTTTGGAAATAAAAAAAAGAATGAGCGCAGACTCCAGACATCACTTCGGCTTGTTCGGTGACCAGAACATACGCTTTTCGGTCACAGACGGGATGCTGGGTCACGGTGCTGTCTAACAGCTCCGTTCTTTCTCCATCAGGTCGAAGACTTGAACCAAGGAGGACGAGACCATAAACGGATTTATGCGAACAACAAATGCGGGATGTCTGCGTCCCTCCCTCGGCGGAGAAACGGCGCCGTGATAGCGTAGTTCGTGAATAGGGAGAAATGCGTATGACACGCAGGAATCTGTCGTAAACTACGTCCTGGGCTCTGTACTCCGGCGTGAAAGTAGAGAATACTAGTCTGAGCGCTTCAGATGATCGTATAGGATCTTTTCTCCACCGCAACTGAGCTAATGTTAGCAGCCGCGAGCGCAACACTCAGCGAGACCGGGGGAATCCGCGTCTGACGGAGGCCATGCTATTATGCCGCGCGAAAATGCACCCAAATAATCGGATGACAGCGCTCCGATCCGTCGAAGGAAAACTTTTGGGCTCGGTTTACGCGGCGGGCTTGCGTTAAAGCAGGTCGTGTGGCTATGGTGCTATCACGCACGCAGCCGAACCGCATCGACTGAAAGCCGCTCTGACTGCGTCGCTTCTCGGGTGAGGCGTACTCGAGGTCCCCACTCCCTCAGAGGAAGACCTGACTCTACAGGCCACATATTTGCCTAGCCTGACTGTCGTTTCATGTATGGATGGACGCGTGCATGCTTTGACAGAATCCTGCGTGCATCGTTGCAGTTGGCACAGCGCATCCCAAGAAGGGGCTGTTACTCTAGCAAACACACATTGGGTCCGTCGAAGCCTTTAATTTGTCTCCTTGAGAACATTACGTAAGGCTGCAGCGTACGCTACGTCTTTTCAAAGGAAAACTATCGGGTGACATTGCAGTCTCTCTCCTCGGAGAGATATAACGTACGCTCCTCTCGGTTATTACGTCCGTTAAAGCAAGGGAAGGTGGAGCATTGTCTGTCGTACGTGCTGACGCAGTGGGATTTCTACGTGTGGTCTGCGTTTCGGCCCGCCCTTCCCGCGGTGACGGTGATGGGTCGGAAGCGGTGTGTTGGTGCAGATTGTTCGAAGATGGCGGCAGGGTGCTGCGGGGTGAAGAAGCAGAAGTTGTCGGGATCCCCCGGGGCTGGGGGTCCCGGCGGGGCGTGCAGCGGAATAGCCGGGACCGGACATTGTGGATCGGAATTGGGGATCGGGTCGTCGTCGACTGTTGTGGCCGGGAACGTGAATCGGGTGAACGGCCTGGGGGGTCCGGGGGGTAGTAGTAGTAGCAGCAGCAGCAACAACACCAATGCTCTGTCCCCAACTCCAGGAGGCTACAACTCCACCGGCCTCTCCCCGACTCTCAGCCCCGGCTCCGGAGCCAGGAAAATGGTCGTTTCGGCGGAGATGTGTTGCTTTTGCTTCGACGTGCTTTATTGCCATCTGTACGGATACCAGCCTCCTCGAACACCCAGGTTTACAAACGACCCCTAGTAAGTAGCAAGATGGCTATTTTGAACCGCTTTGCTACAACAACAGACGGTGTGTTTTCTGTTTGCTGTGCTCGAACCGTGAAGTTTGCTCTTCGTGATCACGGGCGAAGTTTTGCTCGTGTCGGTCTAATGCCGCCGTTGTCACGATAATGACTTTGTTTTTGTGTCCCAAATGCAGTAATTAATAGTTGACTCGCTAACCTAGCTAATCCAAACCCTCTCGATTGAAAAAAAAATTATATATATATATAAAGCGCTAATGTCATGTTTCCAAACTCAAAATTTCTAATGAATTAATTATGTTAATCAATACATACTCTCAAATATAATTGCATCTATTAATTTTATTTATAGCTTAATTACTGTAGACGGTAATTATATTCGATATAAAAATATTATGTGGGCTTAAAAGTTTTTTAAATGTATAATTTCTAAGATTTAAAGAGAGTAAAATTAATCCATCATTAATGCGTTCGTTGATTGGGTAAAGCTGCGCTGTGGGTTTTTTCTCTGACAGAGATTAAATGGGTGTTAGCCTGCTCTTCTTTATTCAAGCTTCTCTGCAAGCTAACATGCTAACCAGCGCTAGCCAACAAACACGATTCTCATTCGCCGAATATTTGCCTTTTTTCTGTTTAGCTCTGTTCTCTTTCTTTTCCCATTTAGTTAGATTTTTCCAAAAACACCGAGTGATATTTCTTTTTTTATTCAATTTGAAGCTGTTTTCAATGGTTAGCTGAAGTGAGCTAGTAAGCTAACAAAGCCCAAGAGTTGTTTACTTTTCCCACAGATATTTTTATCCGAAATCTCTTACAGAATTGTAAATTTAATTTGCAGTCACACGCTTATGTGAAGGTACAACAGTAAAGTGATATTGGGACACGAAAGAATATTTACAAGTGTTCAAAATACAACGGTTTAATATTCTGCTATATTGTCGCTCGCTAAACACTGAATCTTTGTTATCTAGGACATTTTCAGGTAAGCCTTCTCAATGACAACTGGTGTGTTGTAAATGATTTATGTATTTGTACGGACAAACAAAGCGATTTACTCGAGCCACAGTTTGAGTGCTGGGTTATAAGAGCGTTAAAGGGATCTTATTTTATCCGCACTGTTGCCAACTCTCGCGAGACAAATAAGCAACCGCAGCTTCAAAAACAAGCCCAATATTTTTATATAATTTATTATCATAAATATTATTTATTACCAATAAATGAGCCTGCAACATATTAAACCGAAACTACCCTTTTATCTGAAAAGCATAAGTTATTTTACAAAAATCAGGAAACTTCAACAAAGAAGGAACAAAACTAATCTCCAATCACCTGTGAGCAGAAAAGGATTGGAGAGATGGAAAAGGAGAAAAACACAAGAGCTTTAAAGGGGAGCTGTGACATAGCCACATATTTATAGCCTACTAATATATTGGCTATTCGAACCAAACATACTCTTACTATTAGTATAGGCCTACTTGTTTTTTTATTACAGCCCGTGATAATTAATACATTACAAAAACGTTGCAAAAATTAAAAATTAGGCTACCTTATAAAGGGAAAAAAGTCATCCCCTCTACGTCTATTACTATCATCGCTTGGATTACAGCGTCACGCGAATTATTTTTGATCGTGATTTTTCTTCAACGAGGGATTGAAGAAAAATCACGTTCAAAAAGAAGGCGCGTGAGGAGGGTAATACGTGGACTTGGCAGCTCTGCTTATCCGGTTTTGTGGCGAAATCGGTGACTTAGCGAAAACTGTGACCAGGGGTCGCTGTTCAGCAAATGTTTGCGCGGGAGCACGCACACGTTAGAATAGTCACTGAGCGGTGCTCAAAAGATGTTTTTTTTTTTAAAAATTTTTATTATTCTGCTGCTTGATACTGCGGAAGAACTGATGACAGCAAGACGTAAAAGGAGAGCTAATGTATTCTGTTGGTTTAAGGCCAATTAAGTAAATTCAAAACAAAACAAACCGTAATTTCAATTTCAATAATTAGGCTAAAGCTAACAGATTGTAGGATATAATTACATAAAGTGCAGTCAAACTGAACATTTTATTTTATTCAATGTTATCTCTGGTTTGCGGTGGGTAGTCGATGTACTCGCATATCACTGGCTACGTTTACATGCACAATTTTTAGTTCAATCGGACTGAATTCATTCCGATTGTGAATGTAGTGTTTACATGAACGCTAAATAAAGTGATCGGGTTGATGTGCGTGTTTATGTCACAAGCTTCAAATCAGAATTGATTTTTTTTTTAAACATGCGCACACTGCACAAATATAGAGTTTCTCACTGTTTGCACATAATAACCACTCTCCTACACGGTTTCTTTATTTGTTTTTAACAGCAGAATTAATATTTATCCAT